ATATATATATATATGTATATTAAATACATATATCTCGAAAATTTAGACATTTTTAATAATATGAATTTATATTTATATAAAGAGATCGAGATGTCGCAAATTGTGAATCAAATATTCAACATGAAAATTTTATCTTTCAAAGCAACTTGACGTTTTTCATATCGCGTCAATCATAGGAGGTAAACATCTACAGACTGGACGATCAATTTATTTCGCTGGATAGTTCAGCATTTACGATACAAGACCATCACACATGTATGGCCTCTATTCACAGGTTTCGTTATCGATATGAAGTGACCTCGCAAGCCCATATCCATCCATAGATGTTGTTTGACGAAGTAACGATTTTCGAAGCACCTACACGCGCGAGGTTCGTCATGTGAGCAAACTGAAGCCAGATTCGTATCAGACTGACCTAAAGTAGATGCAGGTGTTATTACCTGTTACAGACAATGCTTGATATTTTAGCTTATTACGGTACTTATTTGCTAAAATATTCGCGATCGTAAAAATTTTATGTGAAATAATACCAAGAATTTTCAGAATAATTATCTTCATATTGATATTTTTCGCGTCAGTTAAATTTATATTATTTTATTGTCGGTTGTATAAATAAGATATACCTATATTTTTAAAAGATCTACAATTAAAGTTTTTCGGCGAAATTTAAATAATAGAAGGAAAATTTATCAAATTTCTTACATGTACTTATAATACCCTCTAAAAATAAGATGTGGAATTGATAAATCAAATATAACCGCAGTTCTCAATATCAGTGAATCGACCGTTCTATTTTACTAAATAACTTCGACTTATCACCTTTAACATCACCATTCTCGTAGAATCAGAATATTTTACACATACTTTTTAAATTTAAACCTATCCAGCATAAAAAATAATTCTATTTCGAATACTGCATTTATTTACCAGCTATAACTCAAATTATTTAATAGTTAATCTAAATATAATTAAAGAAAATTTTAATAAATATTATAATTATGTATTATTAATGTAATGTAGAAATAAAAATAAGTATAATATTGATTAAAAGATATTTTAATAAATCATGAAGTAGTATTTATTTTAATTATAAAATTATATTTTCACATACAAAGATTTGTGTACAACGATAAAATTAAAGCTTAAAAAAAATTTTCATAAAACGATATAATAGCTAAAGTTTAATTATGAAACGTCTTATTTAATTAATTCAAATTAAATTAAATTATTTCAGAATAATTTCTTATTTATTTCCTATTTGTTACAGCTTTCCAATGTAGTTTGTAATGTAATATAAAGTTTAGTAATTATGCTTATAGTGATTAACTCTCATTAATTTAAAAAAAATTGAAAAATCTAACATTTCTTACCTTCATAATCTTTTTCCGTGTAAGACTGATGGGTGATCCGCGCGCCCGGATCTTTCGGGGCCTCATCGTCACCTGTTCCGCCCGGATGGGCCCCGCCACTGCCGGCTCTCGGCTGCATCCACGGCCTGTGAAAATAAATTGAATATTCGATTTAATTATCGTAATGCCAATGGCGACGACGACTCTGTATGCATCTATATCAACGCGGACGCAAGTTTCTATTATTAGAGCATTAACGAGTTCCCAACCGGCAGAAATATCATCTAGTTCGTTTATCCGTGATTTTGTTCTCTTTTCGAGAAACGTTTCTGAAATGTAAATTTTCCTTTGGTGAACATCCAACTAGTATTTTATTAATAAAGGTCAATACGAATTTTGTTGTTAGCTTATAGGTCCATTCGATGGATGCACATTGAAAATTGCTTTATTCATTTGGACGATGATGCCAAATGTGTGCATATAACCGTACGTCAACGCAAATTATTTCGTAGGTGTCTGTCCACAACCGGCCGCAACTACTGACACCAGTTAATAATAATTAAGCTTCCACCGTCAGAGTCACTTTGCACGCAACTGCTTCCTCCTCATCTTTCTTCCGCTTGCATGCTATTAAATTTCATATTATTCATTTCAATCCTTCTCATTCCTTCTATTTAATTGATTAATGTAGTTTATATTTTTACTTTATGTATTTAAAAACATGAATTTTTTTTATGATATATTAATTATTAAAAGAAATAAAAATAAGGTATTATATGTAGATATATATATATATGTGTGTGTGTGTGTGTGTGTGTGTGTGTGTGTGTGTGTGTGTGTGTGTGTGTGTGTGTATAGTAATTATAATAATATATTAAAATGTGCAATCTTCTCGATCAGTTATAATTCAATTTTCTCTTTCTTTCTTAATAAAAATTTAATCTTATTTTGATAATTAAATTAGAAATTGTATGTATAATTCTTAATTATATTCTTAAATGATGTGACTATCTGCAATTTTGCATAATTAATCTTATGCTTAAATAATTCTCTGGCATAATACTAAATATATTATACATATATACATTTGCATCTTGTATTTGTAATATTGTGTTTGTCTCTCGTTTGCAAATTATCGCGAGCTAACTTTTATGTGTTTTACTGTCTTTGCAAGAGATATATAAATTTCAAAGATCTCGTTGAGCTTTCGCTCGGTAACGAAGATGAATTTAGCACATTCTGTGGTTAGCTCGACGACGATTTTATTCATATCGAAGATTTCATATTTGATCTTCTAAAAATAAAAAGATCATTTCCGAATAAGATAAAAGAAAATTATATTTTTCACAAATTAAGCTATATCGATACTTTAAGTTATTTTATACATGTCTCTCCTTTATACATGTAATAACAATGAATATGTCTTAAAATAATAAATTAAAAACAATTTAAATATTAATTAATGCGCAGCACAAATGCTTAATAAAGAATTAATAGGGATAAACATATTAATAAAAACATATTAATAAAAACATTTCGCTTATGAGATTTATATAAATTTATATCTACAATAATTAAAATTTTATATTTAGTGAATTCATAAGGTTACATATATAACATTAATAATGCTCATTATACTTAAATAATAATTAATAAAAAGGTATATAAAAAATATGTAGTATTCAAATTTTCATTCATGTGATAATTTGTAAAAAAAAATAAATTTTTCAGTTAAAATTATCTAAATATTTTTTTTAATATTCATATTGATTTATTTAAATTTTTGTTTATATTTATATGTTATATAACTAAAGTGTTGCTTCATTTGAATTACCCTCATCTTATCAAGATCCGTTCAATCGACCGATTATTTTCTGTTTAATAGTACTCATAGTACTAAAAGTTCTACAGTAAATATTCATTTCATTTTGACGTATTCACATATTACACATTCTGTCCACTCTTATACTACATAAGAAGCCCAACAAATTTCTTTCGGTGCAGCGCAACCGAATTAATGCATTAAATCGTTTTATTCGATAAGTGCAGTTGATAACTAAAATTTTTTAAGAATCTTTTCATGAATTCGTGCAAAAATGCGGAAAGAAATAGAAAAGAGACAAATGTCAAAAGAGTTTTTGATCAAATATGAGACAGAGATTGCGGATTGATTATAAAATAAAAAAAGGAGTAAGGATAAGAATACAAGTAATCTAAATATGATATTCTTTCAACAGAATACTGGAAATGCAAAATTGAATTTAATCAGCCTACGCAAAAGCTAACATTTTGATTAGGTAATATTTTGCTTTATTCAAATATTGTTCAAATATTATTTGTATATTATTTTGAAGCAATCCAAGGAAATAAATTGAAGTTATTTAACGTTAGAATGATGATAAATAACGTCAATTTATTTTTTAAAATATTAAATTATAAATTATAAA